CTCAGCCAGCAAAGCTGGCTGAGGAATTCTGGGAGTTGAAGTCCACAAGTCTTAAAAGTTGCCAAGGTTGGACACCCCTGTTTTAGGGCAATATGCCGACTCTGTGACCCACATAGAGAGGGCTGTAAAGCACTGTAAAGGGGTATATAAAGTGCTATTGCTATAAAGGTGGTACAGTCTTTATAAACAGAAGAACACTGACACCCCCTAAACTCCACTGAAGATGTTACCTAGCCTGGTAACAAAATGTTTGGAAAACAGCCCACAAGCTCGGAGAACGAACTTCTACCATCGCAGTACAGACTTTTAGAAAGTTCAGATAAACCTCGATTTACAACCATTTGTTTAGTGACTGTCCGAAATTACCACGGCACTGAAAAAGTGACTGATGACTGTTTTTCAAACTTATGACAGCATCCCCACTATCACATGATCAAAATTCAGAAGTTTGGCAAACGGTTCGCATTTATGACGGTTGCAGTCCTCCGGGGTCATGGGATCCCCTCTTGCATCCTTCTGACAAGGAAAGTCAATGAGGAAGCCAGATTCACTTAACGGTGGTGTCATTCATTTAACAACTGCAGTGATTCACTTAACAATCGTGGCAGATTTGACAACTGTCTCGCTTAGCAACGGAAGTTTTGGATGCAATTGTGCTCATTAAGTCAAGAATTATTCTGTATTCTGGTTATAAAAGGAATTGGAATAAATGATGTTTACTTCCCTTGAATCTTATCATATCAATACAGCTATGTAAAGAGCTGGGATTTGTAATTTCTGCTTAATTATATTAAATAATTGTGGGGCTTTATATCCCCAATATTTTTAAATGTGTATGCTGACACTTTTAGAAAAGGGCTGTGTTGGAAGTTAATAGCTTGGTTCAAAGTCCTTTAAACTTGCAGGGTGACACTGTGTAATGACCCAGAGTGTAACACAAACGTAACAAAATCCAAAACGTAAATAAATGTCCTTTAATGCCTCCAACTTGGCCCCACTGTTCAATAATTCTCAGTTGGAGATTAAATTTATTCAAAAATAGCCTTCAAAAGAAAGCAATACAGTCTGAACTTAATGAGCAGATAGAGGTAAAATAAAAAACCCAAAACAAACTACAATGAAGGATATTCCACAACGGACCAGGATAAGTAATTACCAACTGCAAAGAGATAACAAGGCACAGTCTGTTGGAAGGATGCCAACCAAGATAACTTCAGCCCAAAATAACATACGCTTTGCTTCTGACAACGCTGTGTTTTAACCGTCTCTCTTATATACTATTCTCCCCAGCTGCAACCAATGAGGTGGATCATGGCCGCTTCCTCTCTCGTAAGCCAAGTTGTTTCCTTCTCCGTTCCTCCCTGCATGTCCTAGGATGAAGCGGGGATGGGCCTGGTTCTTCCTCTGACTGCCCAGCCGGCCTTTGCCCTTCCCCAGCCTCCTCCACAACCTTAGGAGCCACAACTCCACTCCCTGTCAGCTGTTCCTCTTCTCCGTCAGAGTCTAACCAGGGCATGACAGAAATTGGAATAAATGATGTTTACTTCCATTGAGTCTTATCATATCAATACAGCTATGTAAAGAGCTGGGATCTGTAATTTCTGCTTAATTATATTAAATAATTGTGGGGCTTTATATATCCCCAATATTTTTAAATGTGTGGAAATAAATATGCTGACACTTTTAGAACAGGGCTGTGTTGGAAGTTAATAGCTTGGTTGAAAGTCCTTTAAACTTGCAGGGTGACATTGTTGTTAAACTAAAAATCATCCCTCATTGGATTTATGACCACAACTCAGCCCCCAAATTTCCATCAGTAAATGAGACAATTGTTAAGGGGAGTTTTGCCCCATTTTATGACCTTTCTTGCCACGGTTGCTAAGTGAATCACTGCTATTAAGGTTGTTAAGTGAATCTGGCTTCCCCATTGACTTTGCTTGTCAGAAGGTCGTGAAAGGGGTTCACATGACCCTGGGACACTGCAACCATCATAAATATGAGTCATTTGCCAAGGGCCTGAATTTTGATCATGTGATCATGGAAATGCTGCAATGATAATTCACTGTGAAAATCATCCTAAGTCACTTTTTTTTTCCAGTGCCGTTGTAACTTTGAATGGTACAGGGAGTCCTTGACTTATGACTGTAATTGAGCCCAATTTTTTTGTTGCTAAGCGAGACATTTTGTTAAGGCAGGCTTGCCCCATTTTACAACTTTTCTTGCCGCAGCTGTTAAGTGGATCATTGCTGTTGTTAAATTGATAAACTTAAATTGTTAAGAGAATCTGCTTTCCCCCACTGACTTCCCTTGGCAAAAGGTCACACGATATGGGGGCGCTGCCACCGTCGTAGATATGAGCCAGTTGCCAAAGCCTCCAGAACTTGGTTGTGTGACCATGGGCACGCTGCAATGTCATAAGTGTGAAAAATAGTCATAATCAGGGATGGGATTCTACCAGTTTGGACCGTTTCTGGTGAACTGGTAGTTCCGGTGATGATTTGGCCCCGCCCACCTACCCCTGCCCTTTTCCTGTGCTTTTTGAGCACAGCTGATTCGCCCGGCAGCACAGTTTGCCGCACATCAGCTGTTTTACTCACTGGGGCTACAGCAAAAGGTAAGTACAGTATTAAGAGCCAAAAATGGTATTTTCTAAATGCTGTGTGCGCGCACTCACCGAACCGGTTGTTATGCCCAGTAGAATCGCACCACTAGCCATAATCCACTTTTTTCAATGATGTTGTAACTTCAAACCATCACTAAATGAATGGTTGTAAGACAAGGGCTACCTGTAATTACCAAACTGAGAAGTTCTACTAGAAGAGTTATAGAAGGAAGTTTGGCCTCCTGGTTCCTCTATGGCAGGGGTGCCAAACCCACTTCGTCACATCATTGTCATGTGACATTTTCCCCCTTCACTAAACCGGGTGTATGACACACCTGGCCCCCAGACTGTGAGTTTGACACCCCTGCTCTATGGCACTTGCTTTTTTTTCCTGCAACTTTGGGATCAGAGATGGGAAAGAATGCTCACCTACGGCACCGTCGGTCGGTATCGAAATCTTTCTTAAGCCGTGTCGATGCCAATCTTTGCTTTTTGCTCGCTGCTTGGCTCCCGCCTCCTGCTTCTTTGTGCCAAAAGTGGATTCTTTGGTGCCCAACCCGATGGTGTTTTTGTCTGGACAGCTGGAGGACTTCTCCAGGCGCTGATGTCTGCCTTCCAGGCCTTTTCTATGGACTGCCAGGCAAATGGGTTCCCCCGCTGATTTTTCAAAGACTTTTCTCAACCTTCCTGGGCCTTCAGAAAGAGAGGCAACTGGGTCACCCGAATTCCTGGCCTGTTGCTCTGGCCATGGTGGTTCTTGATGCTCCCCTGGGTATGGATCACTTGACGGCGAGGGAGGTCCGAGCTGGAGAAAGTGGATTGGGTTAGTGAACGCTAAAAGAGAAGGAGGCTGCCTTCCATTTCTGGACTTGGTTTCACGCGGATTCTCACGATCTCCCAAGGGATGGAACGTGTAGTGAGAAGACCTCCCATCAGGCATATCTTCAAACTTGGATATCCTTTCAGGAACACTGAGAAAACAATCTGCCCCCGTGGCACCATTTCCTAAAAATTCACCTTGCAAGTCCGACAAAGAAAGACCCAACTCAGGGCATGTGGCCAATGGAAGACCAGAGATCTCTTCCATTTTATTGTCCAGGACAAGATCACCTCTTTTGCAAATAGAGGACGAGTCCCAACAGGCATGACGGCTAACCGGTGGGCTAAGATGTGTCGGTTCCTCACTTCCTGTACGGAAGGCATGGGCGTTGTTTTCTGAAGCCTCGGTCCTATGCTGTGTAGAGGGATTGTCCCTGACTAGGAGATGCTTCCTGGAATTGGAATTTGATCGGGAACTGTGAGAACCTCTGCTAACAGTGATGTATGGAGGTTGTGTCGGTCCAGCAGCTACAGACGGTGTGATCTGTTTAGAGTTAGTCCGCTGGGAAGCTGCATTGCTAGCAAGTGAAGGAAACCCAGAACGCCTAGACACAATGGGTAAACTGGCACGGCGTGACACAAGTACAGACTGTTTAAAGTTCTGTACGGAGCGTGGAACCTGGCAACACTGATCCAAGTCACCTTCAGAGGTGGAAAGCGGCTCAGATGATCTGGTTTCAGGGCCTAAGGGCGAATACTCCAAAACAGTCTCATTGGCGGAAGATTTGGGGGCTAGTGGATTAACCTGGCAGGAAGAAGCTCGTTGTTCTAGGAGTCGGTCAGGATTAAGGCCTGTGGGGGTTGGCTGAGCATTAAAATTTGCCTCGGGTGGAGGGATTACAAACTGGAGGGGCTGCGCAGAGGATAAAAGAGAAGCAGATTCGAGGACCAAATTCTGCTCAGGGTCTCCCACTAGAACTGAGGCCAAAGGTTGGGTTAGCTGAGCTGCATCGGTGGTAATTGCAAAAAGAGTCCTGGAAGATGAGAGGCTGTCAGCATTATAGTCACATTCTGTTCCCTCTTTTCCAAGTACTGAAAAACACGGTGACTCACTGGCTAAGATATCTTTTTCCGTGCAATCTGTGTCTGCTGCTGCTTCCTTCCCAGAAAACAGAGCATTCTGAATTGTTGGTTTCAGTTGTTGATGGGACTTCAGGTTGTCTTCAGTAGTGTCTTGGACAGACCCCCAGGAAGAGAGACTTAACTTTATCATCTCTTTGGCAATATTGGACAGGCCTTCTTCTAGAGATGGATTTGGGGGGGCTTTGGAGGTAGAACTCTGAGTGCCTTCGACAAAGTCCTCACCAAAAGCGGGAAGATGACCCTCTCCATCACGGTCCAGTGCTGAAGCTTCATCACCGATCTCTCTGTCCAGTTGGCTGGAGAAATGTAAAACTGATCCCTCTCCTGCACAAGTGACAGTCCCATCCGTGGCTCCCTTGCTAGGATCTTCTTGCAGGAGAGTGGCGGTTATAGTCCTCAAAGATGGGACAGGATTGTTTTCTGCACCAGAAGAACCGCCCACAACTTGAGAGCCATGGAGATCTTGGGAGGCGTTGCCTAATGCTACATCTGCAAACAACTGTGTTATTTGTTCACCATCAGCGCTGCTTACATTTTCCTCTTTTCCAACATCCTCTTCTGCAACATCTTCTTTTCCAACACGCACGGTGGGTTGTGCACTCTCTTGATCACAACAGGACGTTGTGTTTGCTTCGTCATAGATGCCGGAGTGTTCCACTTGTCCAGAGTTGTGATATAGGGCAGACTGTGGTCTTGGGCTTCCACTACCTGGCTGAAAACTTTCAGGGGTCATTCCAGGGAATGCAATAGCGAGTGTTTGGACACAAGGCTCAGGCCACACAGAACCTGACGTTGGAGAGTGATCTGGTGAGGACACCTCCTTCAAAGGGAAAGCAAATTCTTCAGAACTGTTATCGTTTAAGCCAGAAAGAGCCAAACTGTTTTCCAAAGAATCAAATGTGCCCTGGCCCGATCTGATAGGCATGGGATCTATTGTTGCTTGCACAGCCCATTCTTGTTCTTCGTGGTCATTGTGTGGCAACTGCACTTCCTCCAGATTTGTCTTGGATTTACTCTTTGCTGCTTTCTCATTCAAATCCCTCCCTCCCTCTTCCTCGCGGCCTGCCAACTCCAGAGGCCCCGATTCTGTAAATTCTGGCTTCCTTGTGGTTGACAGCTGTTTTTGGTCTGACTCTGATTCCTCACAATTCACGTTGCTTATATTATCATTGGTTTGGATGTTTTTCTTTAGTAAAAAAGGGTTGCTTACTCTGACATCACTCTCTTCCTCTTCCTGGAGCTGGAGAACAAGGCGGCTGAGAACATTTTCCTCCGAATCTCCTATTTCATCCTCAACACCTGAATGTTCCTCCCCTTCTTTGGAAGATACCTGGAATAAAACGTTGCCTCCCTTTCTTCGAACCCCATCTAAATTGAACTCATCCTCTTCCGAAGAAGGATTGCTGAATCTTTTACTCGCTTGTTCTCTTTTAGAGGAGATTTCATTGATCCTCGTTGCAACGTCCGTTTCTTCACCAAGGCTCTGGTCCTCCGTGTGCTGCGTCTGTCGTTGCCACGAATGCTCTTCATCTGACCAGGATTTGTAAAAATCAGCACTTTCATGGCAATTTGAAATATTATGAATCACCAAAGGAGATTCACTGGTGGAGTCTTCTTGACAAGGAAGAGTGTTGGTCATTGCTGATTTCTCATGCCATGTCTGAGAGTGTGTGTCACGCAAACTTGGAGGTTGGCCAAAGCTACCATCACCGACACAGCTCTCCATTTGCCCTGCACTGACCTTTCTGGGAGGGGAAAAAACAGGGCTGGTTGTATCCAGAAAGACAGATTGGCAACTGGTTGAAGAATAACTTGCAAATTCCCCATCAAAGGAATTTAAGGAAGATGCCTGGCTTTCCTTCAAGCTGAGCTGTCCTCTGTTGAGATCCTGTTTTCCACCTGAAAATTCTTCCCAGTTCTCTACCTCTCTTGGCTTTCTTTCCAGATCTTGGGAAGTATCCTTCTCCTCCGTCGAGTTAGAAGATCCATCCCACATGTGTTCTTTCATAACAAGGAGAAGTGCCAGATCATGGGAAAGAGACGGATCCTCCTTCTCTTCCACCTCCTCGCTTCCAGGAACTTGGCTCATGACGAAAGCCTCTGTGACATCATGGTACTTTCTGGCTGAGGAAGGATTGCTGGCTTCATGTGTTCTATGGGTTGACCGCGGGAAAGGATCTCTCTCTTGGATTGGCTCAGACTCCATCAGTGAAGCTTCCTAAAAAGAGAGAGAGAGAGAAGAAAAATAAAGCAGTGGTTACAATTACAACATGATTGAGCTGTACATACATATTGCCTGCGGGTGTTATTGTGGGAAGGACGAAAACATAGCTAATCAATATGAATGAGAGAACAGCAAGAGGAGAAGGATGGGCAAAGATGACGAAGGTATACAGAATGCAACGTTCACGTACTTCTATTCAACATTCGCATGACCTAGAATCCCATGCTCAGTTCCACAGATCTTTCCACCACCACCCACACCAAACTTACACGAATTCAGAGGATATTTACGTCTCTTCCCTTAATCTTGTTTCAACAATCAAACTACATTCACTTCACACATGCCCACACACAGAGATGAAATACGCACGTGGGAGATTAATTGCTGTGCTGGGAGGGACAAAGGAGCCCTGATGACATTAGGAATAGTGACAAGGGTGGCCCACTGAGAGCCAATATGACATAGTAGTTTAAGAGCAGACACACGACCAAAGCTGCATCCAGACATGGAAACCTGTGGCCAATCCCTTAGCCCAATCTACTTCTCAAAATTGTGAGTTTTGGGAGAAGCCAAAGAAGAAATGCTGTGTGTACCATTATCTATCTACCATCCACTTACCCATCCATTTACCTATCTATTGTCTGTCTGTCTACCTAATCTGTCTCTCATCTATCTATCTATCATCTATCTATCTATCTATCTATCTATCTATCTATCTATCTATCTATCTATCTATC